ATCTGGGACTCTTTTTTACATGGTCTTAAAGGTAGCAAAAGAACAGGAAGAATAGTAGGTTGTACCTTAAATGCTCTATATAATCACGAATAAAACAAATATGTAGATATCGATATATCGATTATGCACTCCACCACTCTAATTCAATTCCCACTGGGGATGCTGATGAGTCATGGGCGAGGACGAAACTAAAGTCTATCCTTATTAAAGATACTCTCTAATATTGAACTCTACGTGAAATTTGTTGTGGGAAACCTCATCTATCAGCCTCTCGTCACCTACGCAATCTAGAGTGATGAAAACTCTTTTTCAAGCTTTACTGATAATATGGAATAACCGACTTTATCTATTGTAATTATTTAGAGTTATTACCGAAATTTGGTGTTCTGACTCACATAATTATACAGGCAAAATTACGCAGCCACACATATGACTATGCTTGTCTTATGATAGACGAAGGCTCAGCTTGTTTCTATCCAGACCGAAATGTATCAAAATGAATGTCGTATTGAAATCAAGCGAATGCAAAACAGCGGGAAGCTTTAGGCAGAATCGATCTCTGAAACTATTCTTTAGGAACTTTACATGAAATGAAAGTATCATAAAAATATTATCCTTACGAGAATTGTATAAAGCCGGCTATTTTTTGAATAGATAAGTAATTGTTAATTGGGCATCAAATAGCTTTTGCTTGCTCGTAAGAAATAGGAGCTTTATAAACGGAAGTTAGACAGACAGATATAAGAGAATTAATTGTAAAAGGTTAACTAGATAAATGACAAAAACAAAGGTGTCGATGTAGCTTTTCTTAGTGCCGGTCTACTAAGAAGATTTGTGCTTTGTAATACTTTTAAAGTAATTGTTCATTGTGAAGATAATATTTGTAATATGTAGTCTGAGTTCATATAATCCTCACTTCACTTAATGTACACTTATCCTGTTAAGAGTTCTTATGACAATTATTCATTGTACGCTAGGATGGAGAGCCCAAGTCAAAAGCTTCTTCATTAGCTACATAGTATGTTTGTTTCTTTTAACTCTCCCTATGCAAGCTTCGCGTTCACATCTCTCCTGAACTAATGCCTGTCCAATTTTATTTCATCTAACTATAACAATGCTACTTAGTCAACCTGCTATTTTATGTAAACTTCATAACCAGCTTAGTTAACGTTCATAGTGACTCATTTTGCAAATACGAATTAATGTAGAAAATAATGGTCAAGAGCAGTACTTGTGTTTCTAAGTTTATAGCTTGCTGCAAATATTTATTTTATGGACAGAGTGAGGACAATTTTATTGGCAAAAATATGTATTTCACCCATTATTTTTGCTATCTTGCAGATAGACTAGTTTATACGCCTGTTTAGATCTCGAATACATAAAGTGCCTGCTAAGCTCAACTTATTGGTTTGAAAAAATGTACCTGGTGCATATATGAAATTATTCCAAATCAAATCAATCTTCTACCATTATGGTTGCTTTAGCTTTGCCAATATAATAATGAAAGCCAAAGGCATAAAGTATGCAAAGCAATTTAAATAGTCATACATTTACACTGCTATTTGTTTGATGCAGCGGAACATCAAGAATTCCAGTGAACTTATAACCAATTATGAAGGAAAGATACGTTGATATGGGCAGGCGTAAAATTATTTTTACAGCGGGAATCAGGAATAGCTGCGTTGGAAAAGGCATAAATAAAGACCTTTAACGTGACACAGGTCAAGTAACCCATAACTTTTTCTATAAATCAACTATTTAATTTAATTTCGCCTAATTTCCCTGCTTTACTTCATTGCGTGTTGTAAGCTGCCGCCTTCTAAAGTAGAAGCTTGCCCATATCTTCCTGCCTATTAGGGAGCAGAGCATGTGGCTCTCCGATGCAGAGGCACAACTTTCATAATTCACACAAAATTTGCATGGTCACTAAAGAAATCATCGCACTTATTCTTCACGCATAGAAGTTTTGAGATCACACAAAATAGATTTCTAAAAATTATCGAGCTGTTTTAGTCACTTCAAGCAGCCAGACTTGACAAAGACTATACAGATTTCTGAAAAACACAATCGCCCCTGATTTACTTTGGTTTTCTTTTGATACTACAGAATACTAGCAATGTAGGATGAAGTACACTCTCTTCCGTGGCTCTTTGAGTTATCGTTATTTAGAAAGATATAACAATTCAGCATCAAGTCGAGACAAACTATGCCAAGGGACAAAAATGTGCATTAAACACGATACCATTTAATCCTTTGGCAAAATTTGCGAAGGGTTTATAAGCTAATTAGGTCTATTTGGATAATCCTAAACAATAGTAGCTGGTAAGTGAATGATGAGTCATTTGGGGAATTGTGATCCCGCTAAATCTGATCAAATCACCGGACAATTGATTTTTTACAGAAAGTAGTTCACTAGACTCTATCGAGAGTCAAGTTTCGCACTAAATGTCAATTTATTAGTAGGTTGCAGATAAAGTATATAAATGCAAAGTAGAGGAATGACTGGACTTCACAAATAATAAGATATTGGTGGCAAAGGAGAGGAAATGCTTG